TCTACGTGTTTCCCGGAGATAACGGAGTTACGCATTAGCACGAAGGTCAATTCGGTGAAAGCTATTTATTGTTATCCGGTATTGTGAACTACGCGGATGTATCCTATTGTATCTCAGAACCTACGCGTGAAACCGAGCAAGAATCAGTTTTGCGGGGAATCCATAAGTGCCTTGAGTAATGGGTTTATCAGGAAACCTTCGATCTCTTTGTCCGACGCTTTCACCACCATCTCCAGCTCTTCGAAACTAAATGTCTTACGATTCAAAAGTTCCAGAACCTTAGCGGTATATAGTTCCGGGAGTGATAATGCCCTCGTGAAATACAAAATGTACCGCTTCAAGGGATCCTTCACTATGTATGTCCGCGAAGGTACCCGAGTTCGCTGTTCCCTTTGGATGTCGAGAACATGACCGGTTAACCATCCCATTTCCAGCCAATTTGCAAACAGCTTCTCCTCCATTTGCTGCGCTTCACGACCGTAGATACAGCTGAGCCGTGCCAGAGACAACATACCTGCGACGTTTGCTTCGCCTCCGTAGCCGGCGATAAATGCGTCGAGCAATGTCCAGGACGTATGGTGTTGCTTATTGTATACACCGATGTATCCCCTCAGTGCCCCGAGGTTTGGTGATGCGAAAGGGTTCCCCACATGATGCCCTGACACCCATGTAGACTTACTACTAATGTCTAGTACCTTGAAAATCTTGCCGGGAGTATTCTCTTTCGATTGCACCCTCCCCATTAGATCGTGCGCCAATTTAAGGGTCATCTCTGTCCACTGACGCTCGGAGAGGGATTGTCGGACAGTAAAAATGAAGCTGTCCATTCCCTTCACTGAGCTCTTCACAAGGTCATTATTGTAAAGGGGCACCCTGAAGCTTGTACTGGTGACAGTACAAGCTGCTTATTCTGATGACAGAATAAGGCGGTGCCTCGTAACTTCACGTACACTCGTACGTGCAGAGGAAGACGGTAAGAAGAAGCGAGTACTTGGTTAGAGTAAAAAGTAGAACTGTATTTAGCATATTTAATGTCTGCAATAAATCACTATTTATCTTCATCTAACTATGTCTAAATACAAATGTGTAAATCAGTTATCTGCTCACCACTCATTGCGTGCGTCTGTCGTGGCGCGTCTTCGTTGGTTGATATAATGGCCTATATCAACCAATTAGGAACTACTTGGAAGTGCTACCGAATATTGTCCTTATGACAATATTCTGAGAATATAACTCTTATAGTTATATTCTATCAACAATTTCTTATAAATTGTTATGTAACGATTCACCCCGTTACATCACCCCCCCCTTAACCATCAGTCACTTTAGTGACTGATTGACTAAATGGATACTCGTCCCAAATCATTTGGGACGGGGTTTCACACTTGTTGGTCCGCGTCCACTTTCCAACATCTCATCGCATGGTAAACAAGCCCATGCGATGCGCGAGCAAGGCCGCCGAGAGCGCGTCTGAACGTCTCTGTGCGGACGCCGAAGCAGAAACTACAGCAACTGATGTCCCATCGGTTGCTGAATCGAATCAGCCTGTATCACCTGGTGATGCAGGCGCTGGTCATGAAGACACTCGTGTCTTCACAGAGTACGAGCTCGGTGTCTCGTACTCTCCTGATACGGATGACGGATCCGTATCGACGGCAATTGAATCCAAGCCGCCTGCCAAGCGTGGCATGGACGATGCTTTGCGTCGCAGCATCTTTGGTTCATCTGATGAGTCAGATGAACCATCGCAGAAGCGAAGGCGCTCGAGGTCGCGAGACTCGGGCGCTAATAGTGGTGTCGTTTCTCCAATGGACACCACTTCACAGCGAGGTGCCAGTACTTCTGTCGGCACGTCGCAGGAAGAGCGGGATCGCAATGTGTTGCGTCTCGCTCCAGAAAAGAAGGCATGGATGCCTCCTAAATCTGTCATGGATCACTTGTCGGCGACGACGAGTGATCGTTATCGAACACGATTGTTCGATTCGTCGAGGATTCATCACCTTGACCCCAGCGCGAAAGACTATCGCGCTGAACATGAGTTCTTCATCGATGCTTTCTTTAGACATCGATGGTACAGTGGGAATCACAAACGTGATGGTCCCTCACTACTTCAGGCGTGGAACGCCTACATCCATAATCTCGAGGATGTAGGTCGTGACGCTTGGAACGACAAACTTATCAAAGCTCGTGATAAGTTTGAAAAGCGAACCCCGACAGGTGCACGCTATAAGCTGCATCGTCTGTCAAGGGAGAAAGGATTACCCTGCCTCTCTTGGGGAGACTCGTGCCCATGTTGTGTGAACAACTCTGCACGAGCACCTAAGGAGGCTTACCTCCTTACCAGCCCGTGGTGGCGCGTACGTGTCTCTACTGAGATGTACGAAGGGATTGACAACCTGAAATCCCTTTACGACCGTGCCGGGAAGACTTTCTCCGGCGGTCCTTCTGCGGCACAGGATGTGTCGCGTCGTACTGCTCGACCAGACCCAGTACGTCAACCATCAATTGGGAGCGGGGCTCCCAAGAATCCCAGGACGGGGGATAGCCGCGCCACCGGACGAGATAACTCGTCCGACGTCCGTTCACGTCGCGGTGGTTCAACAGCTGCTCAACTAGATAGCGCTGGCCACCGCGAGAGTCCTCTAATGGAGGTGGAGGAGGAGGAAAGACGCTCTCCACACGATCATGTGGATCGGTGTGTTCCCGAGAGCTTCTTTGATCGCGTAACGCAAGGGTTACGCGACGATCTCGAGCATGAGCGGAATAGGCGTCTCCAGATGGTGGACACTGCCTCGAAGCATCGAGCTGAGTTTGCCTTTGCTCAGCTTGAGAACGAGAGATCTCTGACATCTCTTCGTGACGAGCTAAGGGTAGCTCGTGGGATTGTTGATCGGTCTCGGGCTGAGATAACTGCTCTTCAGACCCTTGTTGATGCCCACCATCGGGAGCACAAGGCTCTCTGCGAGATGCTTGAGCGCAAGGGCGTTCTTCATCGGAAGAAGCAGCGTACTGATAATACGGCTTAAGCCGACCAACGTAAAATGTGGGATGCGTTCGCATCTTACGTGGTAACTCGATCGTGTATGCATTGCCTAGGCGGTGCAATACACGAAATGGGCCAATGTACTTGGGTAGTAGTTTACTGCTACCCAAGTTAGTCACTACATGCTTTGGTAGATTAACCGTAGACAGTAGGACTAAGTCACCTTTATTAAATAAAAGAGTGTTTGCCCTTCCATTCTTGTCAGCGTTTTGCTTTTGCTTATCCACCGCTTCGGCGATGGAGTCTTGCACAAAACGGACTACCGTTTCACGAGCCAGTATGAACTCATCTGATGACTCGTTAGCTTCAGTGTGCTGTGAGCGGACTGCAGCGACAACAACCTTTTCTTCAGTGAGGGCTTCCGCACTCTCACTGGGATCATTGTCTTCAGTGAGGGCTTCCGCACTCTCACTGGCATCATCTTCTTCGATATCGATGTTATCGATATCGGCATCAAACGCAATGACTTCTTCGTCAGAGCGTGATGAGCGTGAACCAAATCGGTTTTTGCTCGCGCGAGTCCCTCCCCCCTTAAACCAGAGTTACACTCTAGTAAGGTGGGTACACGCGGATGGCGCAAGCCATTCACGTAAAACGGTGTATGTGTCGTGGACGCATGCACCGAGTTGTTGATGGCAAACTCTACCATCGGCAAAAACTCACTCCAACTCTTAAAGGAGTGTACGTATCCTCGAAGTATCTCTTCAAGGACACGATTGGCACGTTCCGTCTGACCATCTGACTCTGGATGATCAGATGTTGACATCTTCAAGCGCGTTCCGAGTGATTTGAACACGGAGCGCCAGAAATCAGCAGTGAATCGTGGATCTCTGTCTGATACGAGTTCACGGGGCAACCCATGAAGTCGGAAGATGGTGTCAATAAAGACACAAGCACAGCCACTTGCCGTGATTGTCTCTGGTACAGCCACAAGGTGTACCATTTTGCTGAATCTGTCAACAAATACGAGAATACCCGTATTCCCGCGTGCGTCTTTGGGTAACCCGAAGACGAAATCCATTGAGATGGATTCCCAGCACTCAGCCGGAACCGGTAGAGGCTGTAAAGGTGCACGCAGTGAAGGACTTGACTTCACTCGTTGGCAGACTTCGCATGCGCGAACATACTTTCGCACAAACTGATACTGGCGGGGCCAGTAAAAGTCTCGACTTACCGTGAGATATGTTTTCTCTCGGCCACGATGTCCTCCTATAGGAACATCGTGATACTCGAACATGATCCGCAAACGCAGATCAGTATCATCTGGAATGACAACACGTGGTGTGTCACCAGAAACGGCTGTATAGTACAGTAAACCGTTACGAGTAGTGTATCGATCTGATGCAGATCGATACGCAGACGACAATCGTTTCAACGATTCTCGAGATGGTTGGGAGAGATGTGACAACAACTTCACTATCTCACCATCTTGGGCGTATGCCCGCCTCACATCATCATACAACGTTGTAGATGGAACTGAGGACGTCATAACCGCAACAGTGACTGTCTCACTGTTGGGTTTCGCGACTGTTTCAAAGTCGGGACGACGTGAGAGTGCATCAGCGACGACATTAAGTCGTCCTGGTTTGTACTCGACCGTAAAGTTGTATTCTGCAAAGAATGACAACCACCGCGCCATTCGTTGTGAAAGGTGCGGGCTGTTCACTGCCGTGCGTAAGGACGCATGGTCAGTGTAAACAACGAAGGGTCTATCTCCTAATAGATAGACTCTGAACTTCGCGAGTGCATACTTCATGGCAAGGAGTTCCTTGTCATGCACTGGATAGTTCCGCTCAGCTGGTTGCAGCTGACGCGACTGATAGCAGACGACGCGTTCAACGCCTTCAAGGTCGTACTGCATTAATGCACAGCCGATTGCGAAATCGCTGGCATCACAGACCACATGAAATGGCCTGTCCTGATCGGCTATTGCTAGGACTGGGGATTGTATCAAGCTCTACTTGATACCCTCAAAGGAGCGTTGACATTCAGCGTTCCATAACCACCTCTCGTTCTTTTTCAACAAACGAGAGAGGTGTACAGTCATCTCGGCGTAATTGCGTGAATACTTATGCAAATACGCCGCTAGCTCAAGGAATTTTCGAAGACCTTTGACATCGACCGGCACGGGCCAGTCGGTGATCGCCTTGATCTTTTCGGGATCAGGACGTACACCGTTCTTACCAACGATGCACCCAAGAAGTGGTATTTCGCTTGCTGCAAATATACACTTCTTGAGGTTTGCATACAATTGATGCTTTCGCATGATTGTAAGAACTTGTCGGACGTGGTACTTGTGAACCTCAACGTCCGACTTTCCATCCATAGCTCGACTATGGATGAATACGTCATCGAAATAACTCGGCGCGAATTCTCGTACTGGTCTCAACAGATGTGATACACACCTGTTGAACGTGGCAGGGGCATTACTGAGCCCTTGTGGCATTACTAGCCATTCCCAGAGCATGCCGCTAGGCGTGCTAACTGCGGTATAGGGTATATCCCGTTCCCGCATTAGGATTTGATAGAAGCCATCCATCAAATCCATGGACGAAAAGATGGTACTCTTTGACATACCATCAATGATTACGTCCTTCCTCGGTATCGGCGTCTGAGCCGGTACCGTTGCAGCGTTCAATTTGTTAAACGCGTGCACTATCCGCCACCCTCCTGTTGCTTTTCGCACACAGAAGGTCGGAGAGCTATGTGGGGAAGTTGATTCCCTCACATGGTCCGCTGCTAAACGATCGGCAAAGAACTTGTCGATCGCAAGTACTTGTTCACGAGGCAGTGGCCACTGCTTCATGACACAGTACTTCGAGCCTGGTTTAAGCTCGACTTCGTGTCGAATACCTTTATCCTTCAGTAATTCGCACGGAACAGTTTCAGGGAATACATCCTTGAATTCAACCAAATCTTCATAGAGAGGATTTTCCTTGAGCGATTCCCATGATTGGGACTCATATCGCTCAATTCGTGTCTTTTCATCTAGGACACTCTCGTCCATAGATGAACTACTGAGAACTCTCTCGTTCTCAGTAAACACTGTTGCTGACCTTATGTCGGTTACATACTCGTCTTCAGCGACGAGTATGCAGATCTGCTTGACTTTGCCACTACGCAGATCACGCAAGAATCTTTTATGTTCGAGCGTTGGCAACTGAGTGATCTCCGAAGTTAACTTCGGAGGCGCAATCAGATCAAGTGTATAAGCGCCTACACATGATCCGTTGTTGACTATGACATTCAATGTCTCTGTCATTTCCTGGGGACTTATTCCCTCAGGCTTCGAAGGACTTATTCCTTCGTCTTCCCGGGGACTTATTCCCGCGGGTTTCGGGGAACTTATTTCCGCCGTATTTGTAATCTTGGGACTTATTCCCTTTACTTCCTCTAGCTGTGGTTGCGCAACCACAGCGAGATCCTCTACGAAAGACTCTCCAGTCGATCTAGGATTATCGTTTCGCTTAACCTGAGCGATCGATTGTTTCTCTTCTAGATGTTCCCCTCTAGGGATACATCTTTGTCCCAGTCCACCCGACTTATTCGAGTGGTGGACCTTCGGCGCAGCCTGTGTTTCCTCACAGCCGCCGGAACTTTTCTCCGAAGTGTAACCGTTTGGTACACTAAGGTTTTGTGCAGTCGTACTAACGACCGAACCACAAGTGAGGCCATCGCACTCACTCGTAGTACATCCACACGCTTGTGGACGCTCCAAAACGTTCATCAGATGGCCATCTGATGAACAAGCGGCAGGCATCGTTACTGTCCAATGTTGCCAGTTTACCCGTGGTTCGTACCTTCTGAGCCACGGTATTCCAAGGATGACATCAAATTTGTCATCCAAATCCAATACGATAAAGTCATCGTCGTATTGGGTATCTTCTAGCGTATAGTGGATCTTCACTATATGCTTCATGACGGTTACGGATGCGCCTGTCGCAAGACGTACCGTCATCCTCGTAGGAGGTGTGTCACATTCACTGAATTTAAAGTGACCATCTTCTAGCGATTGGCGTCGCACAAAATTGTTGGACGCCCCACAATCGACTAGAGCTCGAAGGGACAACTTATTCGTCACTTCGAGTTTCAAGGTAATGAGTGAGATCTCATTACCTAGAGCAGCAACGCACAATGTCTGTGTGTTGGGAGCAACCTTCATCAAGAGGCCTACAAATTCTCTTGACGTTGCTGGATCAGTAGGGTGCTCCGCACCTACTGATCCTGTCCGTTTTTTGACGGTCCATCCCGTTGTTGCGTCTTTGCACCAACTGCGGACCCTCGTCCCTGCCCCTTTCTCATGGGTGGACGGTCACTACGCCCAGTGTCGCGAGACACTGGACGAGGGGCACTACACTCGTAAGCGTAGTGTCCTGTCTTTTGACATCTGTTGCATCTCTGCAACTTCTTGTAGCCTGTAGAGCGAGCCTTCTCGCTCTCTACATAACAGAGTTCCATCGGCTCTGGACCTCCGTTGTCATATCGTCTCGGTTGACGATATGATGTCGAGCTGGCGCGAGCCTGTCTCAGACTGAAGTCTTCCTGCTCCGCAATTGAAATGGCTTGTTCTAGTGAATCTAGTTCAAGCCGGAACAGGTGAGTCTTGACGGGACCATCCGCAAGACCCTGCATGAACACCGAAACCAACGTGTGTTCATCGACCGGGTTGGAACTTATACAACTCGTGAGATGTCGTATATGTTGAGCGTAAGCGTGCACATCACGCTTACCCTGCTTGAGCTTCAAGAGTTCGGTTCGAGCTCTGAACTCAGCTCTAGGCGGTTCAAACGTTTGTCTGAGCCGCGACTTGAAGACTTCCAACGACCCAAACGCATATGGGTCGTGCAGCTTGAGCCCCAGTGCCCAAGTCTTGGCACGTCCTGCCAGATTTGACTGGGCAAATGCAACTTGCATATCCCCGTCGTCGATGCGACGCGCCCTTATGGCGTCATCCAATTCGACGAACCATCTCAAGAGGGAGTCCTCTTCGACTCCCCTATACTTTGAGATGTCAATCTTCAAAGTCTCGGGCCGACGCGAGTGCATCGACCCGCCAGCAGCAGCCTGATGCTGTCTCAACAGTTCAAACTGTTGAGCACCTTGTTCTCTCAACAACTCTGCTTGTTGAGAACCTTGTTGGTGAAGCAAGGCTACTTTCTCGCGTTCTGCGTCAAGTTCATTTTGAATGAACTTGGCGATAGTAGCATGTTGGGCATCTCTATTGAGAGCCTCTAGCATGACGCTAACAGCATGGATGCCCATGGTCGAACCCATTCGTTCAACCGCATCCCATTCGACATCGCTCAAATGGGAGTAGCCGTCACGCGTAGCGTGAAAGCTTTGGTCATCTTCATCATCCAACATATTCATGTTGGATGTGAACGCGGTCCTTGGACGGACTACGAAGTGCTACCAGGTGTAACGGGGCACCCTGAAGCTTGTACTGGTGACAGTACAAGCTACTTATTCTGATGACAGAATAAGGCGGTGCCTCGTAACTTCACGTACACTCGTACGTGCAGAGGAAGACGGTAAGAAGAAGCGAGTACTTGGTTAAAGTAAAAAGTAGAACTGTATTTTGTATAGTTAATGTCTGCAATAAATCACTATTTATCTTCATCTAACTATGTCTAAATACAAATGTGTAAATCAGTTATCTGCTCACCACTCATTGCGTGCGTCTGTCGTGGCGCGTCTTCGTTGGTTGATATAATGGCCTATATCAACCAATTAGGAACTACTTGGAAGTGCTACAGAATATTGTCCTTATGACAATATTCTGAGAATATAACTCTTATAGTTATATTCTATTAACAATTTCTTATAAATTGTTATGTAACGATTCACCCCGTTACAATTATCATCTCGTGCGAGCTGAGCCATGTTCTCTCGTCGGCGCTCCTTTTCATGGGGTTGCCCAGATTCCAATGCAAGACAGCGAGTCTCGAGATATGCCATGATAGCATGTAATTCGAATGACCTCACTTTTTCTTTATAACCGCTGGGAAGCCCGCCCGTGTTTTGACCGTACGAGTGTAGCGAAGTCACCAGTATACCAACTGCACTCGCTACCTTTTTTCCTATCGATGTAGGAATGGGAGGGCTCGCTCGCTCTTCACCTAGCGTGGATTTGAGATCCCCCAGCAGCCGCTTGGCATGCACGCTATCGTAAGGACCATCAGAAAAACGGACACTGGCCGAGAGGTTGAACGCCGTCAGCAAAGGGCGGGGTATTTTGGTAGAGTTCGTGCTGCGTACGATTACGGGTGTCGATGCCATGAGCGCGAAAGTGATGAGACGCATCTTCAGTTGTTGTCGTGGTCTTTCACGAGGGTGAGGGATCAAATTTCGAAGTGACCAAGTAGCTTCACTCGCATAGCTATCCGACGACATCTGAAAGAGCCTTGACCGTAAGCTCTCCAATCCTTTTGTCGACTCTTGCATACTTCTTTCGAATGGCTTTCAGCGCGACTTTCCTCCTGATTCTAGTCAGAGCCAGCACAGTCGAAACAGGGCAAGGGACCTCATTGAAGGCCGACCAACAGGAAGCGCGCAGGACCCGATTCAGCTCGTGACTCTGCACCTAGGCGATGGTGGATTGCACTGATTTCGGTACGGATCATGTAACGGGGTGAATCGTTACATAACAATTTATAAGAAATTGTTAATAGAATATAACTATAAGAGTTATATTCTCAGAATATTGTCATAAGGACAATATTCGGTAGCACTTCCAAGTAGTTCCTAATTGGTTGATATAGGCCATTATATCAACCAACGAAGACGCGCCACGACAGACGCACGCAATGAGTGGTGAGCAGATAACTGATTTACACATTTGTATTTAGACATAGTTAGATGAAGATAAATAGTGATTTATTGCAGACATTAACTATTATAAATACAGTTCTACTTTTACTCTAACCGAGTACTCGCTTCTTCTTACCGTCTTCCTCTGCACGTACGAGTGTACGTGAAGTTACGAGGCACCGCCTTATTCTGTTATCAGAATAAGCAGCTTGTACTGTCACCAGTACAAGCTTCAGGGTGCCCCGTTACACCTGGTAGCACTTCGTAGTCCGTCCAAGGACCGCGTTCACATCCAACATGAATATGTTGGATGATGAAGATGACCAAAGCTTTCACGCTACGCGTGACGGCTACTCCCATTTGAGCGATGTCGAATGGGATGCGGTTGAACGAATGGGTTCGACCATGGGCATCCATGCTGTTAGCGTCATGCTAGAGGCTCTCAATAGAGATGCCCAACATGCTACTATCGCCAAGTTCATTCAAAATGAACTTGACGCAGAACGCGAGAAAGTAGCCTTGCTTCACCAACAAGGTTCTCAACAAGCAGAGTTGTTGAGAGAACAAGGTGCTCAACAGTTTGAACTGTTGAGACAGCAGCAGGCTGCTGCTGGCGGGTCGATGCACTCGCGTCGGCCCGAGACTTTGAAGATTGACATCTCCAAGTATAGGGGGTCGAAGAAGACTCCCTCTTGAGATGGTTTGTCGAGGTGGATGACGCCATAAGGGCGCGTCGCATCGACGACGGGGATATGCAAGTTGCATTTGCCCAGTCAAATCTGGCAGGACGTGCCAAGACTTGGGCACTGGGGCTCAAGCTGCACGACCCATACGCGTTTGGGTCGTTGGAAGTCTTCAAGTCGCGGCTCAGACAAACGTTTGAACCGCCTAGAGCTGAGTTCAGAGCTCGAACCGAACTCTTGAAGCTCAAGCAGGGTAAGCGTGATGTGCACGCTTACGCTCAACATATACGACATCTCACGAGTTGTATAAGTTCCAATCCGGTGGATGAACACACGTTGGTTTCGGTGTTCATGCAGGGTCTTGCGGATGGTCCCGTCAAGACTCACCTGTTCCGGCTTGAACTAGATTCACTAGAACAAGCCATTTCAATTGCGGAGCAGGAAGACTTCAGTCTGAGACAGGCTCGCGCCAGCTCGACATCATATCGTCAACCGAGACGATATGACAACGGAGGTCCAGAGCCGATGGAACTCTGTTATGTAGAGAGCGAGAAGGCTCGCTCTACAGGCTACAAGAAGTTGCAGAGATGCAACAGATGTCAAAAGACAGGACACTACGCTTACGAGTGTAGTGCCCCTCGTCCAGTGTCTCGCGACACTGGGCGTAGTGACCGTCCACCCATGAGAAAGGGGCAGGGACGAGGGTCCGCAGTTGGTGCAAAGACGCAACAACAGGGATGGACCGTCAAAAAACGGACAGGATCAGTAGGTGCGGAGCACCCTACTGATCCAGCAACGTCAAGAGAATTTGTAGGCCTCTTGATGAAGGTTGCTCCCAACACACAGACATTGTGCGTTGCTGCTCTAGGTAATGAGATCTCACTCATTACCTTGAAACTCGAAGTGACGAATAAGTTGTCCCTTCGAGCTCTAGTCGATTGTGGGGCGTCCAACAATTTTGTGCGACGCCAATCGCTAGAAGATGGTCACTTTAAATTCAGTGAATGTGACACACCTCCTACGAGGATGACGGTACGTCTTGCGACAGGCGCATCCGTAACCGTCATGAAGCATATAGTGAAGATCCACTATACGCTAGAAGATACCCAATACGACGATGACTTTATCGTATTGGATTTGGATGACAAATTTGATGTCATCCTTGGAATACCGTGGCTCAGAAGGTACGAACCACGGGTAAACTGGCAACATTGGACAGTAACGATGCCTGCCGCTTGTTCATCAGATGGCCATCTGATGAACGTTT